GGTTTAGAGCTTGGACTGAACGCTGGGTTCTGCAAGACTGCAGTTCTGCCCAACATTTACAGAGGCATGTAAATTTGCTTATACAATTACTCCTAAAATGGGTGCAGCAGTATATGCCTCTGCATAGCTTGACAGAAAAGTCCATGTAGGGAAATCAATGAAATCAGAATATTCTAAGCAATGAATTAAACATAAGTGTTTAGTGAAAGCTACATGTATCAACCTAAAAGACAGACTTACAAACACACAGCTTGCCTCATGTTTTCCTCTTTTTTTTCTCTCCACCAAAGGTACATAAAATAAAGCAAGAGGATGAATGTAAAAATACACAGGTTAAACTCACTTAAATTAGAACTCACTCATTAGAATTTGCTCACTCAAATAAGAACAGATCCACTGATGCCACTGAGTTATACAGCATGCATAATCTATTAGCACTTGATACTTACTGTAAGATGACAAGCTCTCTATCCAGTACAGTGCAATATCTAACCTTTAAATTATCCATATGGATAGACACACTATACTTTTGTACTAGGGTATTCATGGTCCCAAAGTTAAGTATGTGTTCATGTGTTTTACCGAACTGGCTGTCATTGTGCAACATCATAACACCATACCCATGAACCCTCCCTCCAAAAAGTTATGAAAGGAATTATGAACATATGTACAGTTTACATTTTTTATATGCAAAACTCTATGGAGAGTCCAGATCTTGACTGCAGTAGGAGTGCTTGGGTGAAATGAACAGGATCTACTTCAGTGTTAGCACATCTACTTTATAATGAACATCATATGAAAGTAGAACCAGCATCTGCCTGCCAAAACATCAAATCTGAACTAACTCTGCTCATTGATACACTATTTCAGTCAGTGTGTTGTATTTCAGCTACATGTGCCCTTTATTAATATTTAAAAACACTTCCACAAAAAAAAAAGGCATTTTGAAATTAATTACAAATGTACAGGAAATAAATTTTTACAATTATAAACTCCAATCCCATTAACACAAATACTGTTATGTGCAGAACAAGAGTAGCCTTATTCTTGAATCCTATTGGCATGTGCAAGAAGATTAATGTTTGATTACTTATATGTATTTTGTTTGCCTATACAGGTTCCTAGAACATGTACTTTAGCAAATAAAATGCATTTTTAAACATGTTACATACTTGTTAAAGTACAGAGAAAGACTAATCAGATCAAGTAAGTGTCATGGTTTAACCCCAGCCGGCAACTAAGCACCACACAGCCGCTCGCTCACTCCCCCCCGGTGGGATGGGGGAGAGAATTGGAAGGAAGGAAAGTGAGAAAACTCGTCGGTTGAGATAAAGACAGTTTAATAGGTAAAGCAAAAGCCGCGCATGTAAGCAAAGCAAAACGAGGAATTCATTCACTCCTTCCCATCGGCAGGCAGGTGTTCAGCCATCTCCAGGAAAGCAGGGCTCCATCACGCGTAACGGTTCCTTGGGAAGACAAACGCCATCACTCCGAACCTACCCCCTTTCCTTCTTCTTCCCCCAGCTTTATATGCTGAGCATGATGTCGTATGGTATGGAATATCCCTGTGGTCAGTTGGGGTCAGCTGTCCCGGCTGTGGCCCCTCCCAGCTTCTTGTGCACCCCCAGCCTACTCGCTGGTGGGGTGGTGTGAGAAGCAGAAAAGGCCTTGACTCTGTGTAAGCACTGCTCAGCAGTAACTAAAACATCCCTGTGTTATCAACCCTGTTTCCAGCACAAATCCAAAACATAGCCCCATACCAGCTACTATGAAGAAAATTAACTCTACCCCAGCCAAAACCAGCACAGTAAAGCAGAACTCTCCCAATAGATCAATTGACTTGGTCACAGAAGCCTTCCTTCTTTTGAAATCAGACAACGTATGATCAACATTTTAAATATGCATAAAATAAACTACAATTACTTTTGTTTCCTGTGAAGGGTGAAAACATTCTATGTTGTGTTCAAAGGCCAAAATTATTGTCTCCTCTTAAATACAGTAACGGTGCTTACCTTTCTCTCAGCTACTTACTAAAGGCCCAGAAGTCAGATGACACCGCCAGAGAAGTCCAGTAGTTTTATAGCACTTCAAAGTTGACTTCAAGACACAGTTCTAAAGGTTTTGCTTTTAAATGAATGCTGTTCAAAACAAATGCCTGGCAAAGGCCCAGATCAAAGTATCAGGTAATAGTCTAAGCAGTCAAAACAGAGAACACTTATTAATTAGTAATAAATATCCTGAATTATTAAAGATAAAACTTCTTTGATCTTTGTTTCAAAGCATTTTTTTCTTATGGTTGGAGTGCAATATTTCTAAATTGAGGGGCCTTTACTAAGCATCTCCCAGTTGCTGAGAAACAGTGTTGCTACAGAGACTGAAAATGAGGTGGAAGCTGGCACAATAATGCAGAAAGCACAGTGTGCTGTAACAAACAGTTGGTGCAACTACACAAAGAGGAAAAATAGTAAGTCCTAGTGGTAATGTCCTAGAATAAGAATTGTTCAGACCAACCAGAAAGCTTACACACTCTTCAGTACACCCAAATGCTAGGGTTTATGCAGAATACATATAACATTTGTAAGACATACAATTATCTTCAAGACCGTTTTCATAAATTTTTCCACAGTTACCCTAACACCCAGGTAGTAGGATTCATCAATGCTATGAATATCCTGCATATATAGCATTACTCAATAACTTGTGAGAAAATGTGTACCAGAAATCACATTACTTATAGAAAACCCAAACTTAGTGGTGACTAAGTCTATCACTGTGTTAAAACTGTAACCAACTTTGAATATGTTATCATATTTTAGCTTTCCTATAATTTTTATTCTTTCTTTCTCTCCTAAGCAAAAGCTAGGAAAAGAAACCTTAGTTTCCATTCTATTATGCTTCCATGAGGAAAGATCTGAATTTCCCTGCAGGCCACTAGGCAAATGTAATAGGAATTATTTAGGATACAAGAGACATTCAAGACATTTGTTTTGTTTTTCTCCTCCCAACCTCTGAGAAGAAATTCTTTGCCTGTGGTTTTCAGGTAGTGACTGAGAAGTCCGATAAGTCTGTAGAAACAGTTAATTTCCTTCTCATTAACAGCTGTGCAGTGTTGGTGCTTGAATTGCAGTCTGTTGGAACTACTTTCTCCACAGGTAGAATAAAAAAATTCAAAGAGTAAAAGACTGCCAAATCATATTCCATATAGAAAAAAAAAAAATGTAAATACACATTAGAGAAGCTAACTTTTCCTCTCCTGTCTTGGAGGAGCTATGGAACAAACCAGGTAGTTTGTAAAGACTACTGGTAGCATCCTTCCCTGCTATGCTCTCCTGAGGCATCTGCCTCCAGATGCTTCTCAGAGACTCAGCCAATTTTCTGTGCATACACAACTAGAAACTAATTCCCTGGAGACCACTTCCTCATGAAACATATGATTCCTAACCACTTTCTTCAAGACTTTTTACAACACCTACCTCTACAACTCCCATATGAACTCTTCCATGAAGATACTTGTAACAGTAATATCTCAGTTCCTGTAAATGTTGCTTCTCCCATATACATTTCACATAAGAAACTACACTCTTCCAACTCCTTTGCGATACCCCAGCTTTCTGAGCTCCTCTTTCTAATACCAGTGAGACACCCCTCCTCATTCTGTCCATATCAGCTGATAAATAACAAATAAACTCCTCTTGGTTTCCTCATGTAAGAAGCAGTCTACCCCTGTTCAGAGTTTGAACCTCTACTTGAATAGAAATAATTAATTTATTCCAACTGTATGTATCTGATTAAAAGAACAGGAAACTTTTTATTTTGCTTTAAACACTCACATCTGACAAAAAATTAGCAAGTATAATAATATTTCATTTAACACAGTGTTGTGGTTTAACCGGCAGGCAGCTAAACACCACACAGCCATTCGCTCACTCCCCCCACCCCACAGTGGGATGGGGGAGAGAAAAGGGAAAAAAAGTAAAGTTTAT